TCCTTTTCTTTTTCCTCCTCCTCGTTTTCTTCCTCCTCCTTTCCTTCCCCTTCCTCATCCCCCGCCCCCCATCCCCACGTCCCCCCAGCCCCGCCATCTCCTCCATCTCCTCCATCTCCTCCATCGCCTCCATTTCCTCCGTTTCCCCCATCTCCCCAGACTCCTCCATCTCCTCCATCGCCTCCTCCTCCTGGTTGTCCTCCTCCTCCGCCTCTTCCTCCTCCTCCGCCTCCTCCTCCCCCTCCTCCTCCTCCTCATCCTCCTCCTCATCCTCCTCCTCATCCTCCTCCCTTTCCTCCCCCCCCCTCGTCAGGCCACCTTGCGAGCAGGCCAGGCCCATTGAGGTGGCACGCAGTGCGGACCATGTCCTTTCTTACTGCGCCAGCCTCGGGCGGCACCGATGCACCCAACGCGGGGTCACGGCCACAACGGGCAAACTGGCTCTCATCGCGCACGTCGCCCTACGCGTGTTGCCTGAGCTCTCAACGCCGAGTATTTCCGCGCCTTCTGCGAGGGCTGAGTTCTCTGCAGCGACCAGAGGGCCGGCATGGCCCCGGGCGCGGCCTGGGGGCTCGAAGGGAGCTCACAACCCTCGGCCCTCGCAGCCTTGTTGCCACCTGCCCTGGCCGAGGAGGTCGGGGGCGCCTTCGCTGCGTTCGGGCACGACGTGTTCAGGGGCAACAGCGTTTACCGTCGCAGGCGCTGCGGGTATCAGTGCGCTGCGGGAGATGTCCGCACAATGCGGAAGCTTGGTTTGAGGTGCGATGGGCTCTCGCCCAACGAGTCCACGCGCCGCAACCAGCAAGATGCGGTCAGGCGCGTCGAGAGGGGCCTGGCGCCTCGTGCCCGACGCACACCAGCAGCGCCGCCCCCGCAGGGGGGTTCTTCTTGCAGCCACGCGGCGCGTTGATCAACCATGTCGTGATTCGCTGCCTTTCCGTGGTCGGCTGGTGGCACGGCGTCTTCTTCGGTGGCGACGCCTCCTTCGTCGGCGGCACGTTGGCCTGCGTCCACGGCCTTGAAGGCGATGTTTTCCAGTTGCTCTCCTTCTAAATTGCCTCCTGCTCTTACGGCACCGAGCCGTGAGTAGGCGGCGCCAGGGGGTAGTCCGTCGCGCGCCTGCGTGCGCGGCGGGACACCTTCCTGAGGCGATGCGCTCATCCTCCTCCTCTCCTCCTTTTCCTCCTCCTCCTCCTCCTCCTTCCTCTTCCTCCTCCTCCCTCCTCCTCCTCCTCCTCCCCTCCTCCTCCTCCCCTCCTCCTCCCTCCTCCTCCTCCTCCTCCTCCTCCTCCTCCTCCTCCTCCCCCTCCTCCCCCTCCCCTGCCCCCTCCCTCTCCCCCCTCTCCTCCTCCTCCTCCTCCTCCTCCTCCTCCTCCTCCTCCTCCTCCTCCTCCTCTCCTCTCCTCCTCGTCCCTCCTCCTCCTTCTCCTCTCATCTTCCTCCTCCTCTCCTCCTCCTTCCTCCTCCTTCCTCCTCCTCCTCTTCCTCCTCCTCCTCCTCCCCCTCCTCCTCCTCCTCCTCCTCATCCTCTTCCTCCTCCTCTTCTTCTTCTTCGTATTATTATTAGTGTTCGTATTATTATTCTTCTTAGTTATTCTGTTTTATTCTTATTGTTATTATTATTCTTCTTTTTAGTATTATTAGTACTCGTATTCCGATTCTTCTTATTAGTATTATTCTTATTAGTCTTATTATAATTATTATTAATATTATTGGTATTATTATTAGTATTATTATTCTTCATATTTTTATTATTCCTATTCTTAAAATTAGTATCCTTATTCGTCTTATTATTATTATGCTTCTTCTTCGTATTAGTCTTATTCTTAGTGTTCTTATTATTCCTATTCTTAGTATTATTCTTTTTTTTCTGCTTATGATTATTCTTATTATTAGTAGTCTTCTTCTTACTCTTATTATTATTATCCTTCCTCCTCCTCCTCCTCCGCATCATCATCATCATCATCCATCATCAGCAGCATCAGCATCAGCATCAGCATCATCATCATCATCATCATGATCACCATCATCATCATCATCACCACCACCACCACCATCATCATCATCATCAGCAGCATCATCAGCATCATCAGCATCATCAGCATCAGCATCATCAGCAGCATCATCAGCATCAGCATCAGCATCATCATCAGCAGCAGCAGCATCGTCATCATCATCATCAGCATCATCATCATCATAATCATCATCATCACCATCACCAGCATCAGCATCAGCATCAGCATCATCGTCATCATCAGCATCATCAGCATCATCATCAGCATCAGCATCAGCATCATCATTACCATCGTCATCAGCAGCAGCATCATCAGCAAAAGCAGCACCATCATCAGCATCAGCATCATCATCATAATCATCATCAGCATCACCATCATCAGCATAAGCATCAGCATCAGCATCAGCATCATCGTCATCATCATCATCAGCATCATCAGCATCATCATCGGCATCAGCATCAGCATCAGCAAAAGCAGCATCATCACCAGCATCAGCATCAGCATCAGCATCAGCATCATCATCAGCATCATCATCATCATAATCATCATCATCACCATCATCAGCATTAGCATCAGCATCAGCATCATCATCAGCATCATCAGCATCATCATGAGCATCAATATCAGCATCAGCATTACCATCATCATCATCAGCAGCAGCATCAGCAGCTTCATCATCATCAGCATCAGCATCAGCATCATCATCAGCAACATCATCATCATGATCATCATCATCAGCATCATCATCAGCATCGTCATCATCATCATCATCATCATCATCGTCAGCATCGCCATCAGCACCATCAGCAGCATCAGCAGCAGCATCAGCATCATCAGCATCGTCATCGTCAGCATCATCATCATCATCATCATCATCATCATCATCATCATCATCATCATCATCATCATCATCATCATTCTCATCATCATCGTCCTCATCAACATCAGCATCATCATCATCATCAGCAGCATCATCATCATCATCGTCAGCATCATCATCAGCATCATCGACAGCATCATCAGCATTATCATCGTCATCATCTTCAGCCTCATCATCATCAGCAGTAGCATCAGCACCATCATCATCAACATCATCAGCATTAGCATCAGCATTAGCATCAGCAGCATCAGCATCAGCATCAGCATCAGCATCATCAGCATCATCATCCTCAGCATCCTCATCATCATCATCATCAGCAGCAAAAGCAACATCATCATCAGCATCAGCATCAGCATCAGCATCAGCATCAGCATCAGCATCATCATCATCATCATCATCATCATCATCATCATCATCATCATCATCATCATCATCATCATCATCATCATCCACCTCCACCTCCTCCTCATCCTCCGCCTCCACCTCCCCCTCCTCCCCCTCCTCCTACTCCCCCTCCTCCTCCACCTCCCCCTCCTCCTCATCCCCCTCGATTCTCCTTCGGGAGCCCCACGAACCTCAGTGCATCCCACCCTGAGACTATCCCCGCCCGCCCCCTTGGGGAACAACAGGCTGCGAAGCGGAGGTGTCTACTCCCGCAACAGCTCCAAGGCGAAGATATGCCAGAACTTATCGATGTCTCTCAAACGTTGAGAGATTGTTGAACTCGCGACCCCCCTGGCCGAAAATCCAGGAGGCCTCGCGCGGAAATTTGATGCCCAATGTACGTTGGATCCACGTCGGATTCGCTTCGGATTGCATCGGATTAAGTCGGATGTACGTCGGACTTACGTCCGAGCATCGCCGCGCGAACGTCGACCCGTATCTTACGGAGCGGACTACATCATAAAAATGTTGCGCGCCGTCGTCATCGTCGTCGCCGCAGCCGTTGTCGTCATCATCGTCCCCCTGAAGGGTCGGCGGCACTGGCAGGAGGGCCTTCGCAATATTGCCAGCCGCTTGGCCTCAAAGATTGTCCTCATAGCTTGAGGATGGCCTTGGCCGAAAAGACATCGCCCCTGAGGGATGGTCCCCGGCCCTCGCCACGGGCGGCGTTGCGCGCGGGCCCCAATGCATACCACCCTGGGACTATCCCCGAAACGCTCTTCGCGAGGCACAACTGCTGGAAGGCATCCCAGGAAAGAAACCCCGGACCTCCAACTAACCACCTCGACCGGTAGCGGTCGTTACCAGGGGGGGGAGGGTTGGGGCCCCAGTAACGCTTGAGCGAGAGGGATGCTGCACGGCGGGGCGGAAGGCACTGCGATCGCCAAAGTACGCGCGCGAAGACAAGCATGTGGGGGGGGGGGGACCAGCACCCGTCCCCCCAAAACGTGGGATCGTTACTGTTACCCGGGGGGAGGGAGGGGCTTGGCCTGGGTTGCGACCGTTGCGCGTCAGAGAACAGGACAACATCTCCTAGACCATCACCCCCTATTAATGTCGGACTGCGTCGGGCTTACGTCGAAACTACGTCGGACCCACGTCGGAGCATCGCCGCGTGAACGCGGCTGCCGGAAGGCATCCTGAGGCTGAAAGCCGCCGAGAGCTGGCGCGAACATCAAAAATGCTCGAACATCCGAGCGAGGACCTCGACATGGACCATCCCCCCTTCTACGGCCGGCGTTGGAAAAGATAGCGTGCGACATCGCTCACCGATCCCTCCGCGAGGGCCCCTCCCGTGCATGCCAATCCCTGCCAGGGCTCCTTCGGTGCACGATACCTCCCCAGGGACGGGACAGCGTGCAAGAGGCGGGCCGGCGTCGCCACGCCGCACGCCGCCTTTCCAACGCCCATCAATCGTAAGGCCAAAAACTAGGACAAACTGTGGGCTGACATCCTCCTCCTCCTCCTCCTTCTCCGCCTCCTCCTCGTTCCTCATCCTCCTCCTCCGCCTCCTCCTCCTCCTCCGCCTCCTCCTCCTCCTCCTCCTCCTCCTCCTGCTCCTCCTCCTCCTCCTCCTCCTCCTCTTCCTCCTCCTCTTGCTCCTCCTCGTCCTCCTCCTCCTGCTCCTCCGCCTCCTCATCCTCCCCCCCCACTGCTCGGGCCTGCACTTGAGCTTCCGCAGGGCGCGGGCGCTCCTGCGGGCACCAGCGCTGTAGCGAGCGCGCGGGGACGTGGAGGAGGGGGGGGGAGGGAGGAGGCGGAGGGGGGGGAGGAAAAACAAAAAGAGGAAGGGGCGGAGGAGGGAGGAGGGGGGGGAGGAAAAAGGGAGAAGGCGGAGGGGGGGGAGGAGGGGGGAAACGGGAGAAGGGGGGGGAGGAGGGGGGAAAAGGGAGAAGGGGGACTTTGGACTCTGTGAATGCGCACTCTGTGCTGTCGAAACCAGGGGACGGCGATCCGACAGGCCTCCTGCTCGCCGCCCCGGCGCCCGCGGTGCGCCACACGCGCGCTCGCCGAAGAGGAAGCCAACTGCCCCAGCATGCAAGGCGGCGCCACTCCCAGCCCGAGGGGCCTCGGCGCTCCTGCCCGCCCTGGGCTGCGAGGCAACCGAGAACCTCGCGAGGGAACCACTGGAGGCGGCAACGCGCAGGCCGGCCTCACGGGGATCACGAGGCGCCGAAGCCCGACCCAGGGCCTCCGCCTGCCTCTGCAGGTCGGGACCCTGGAACGCCCTCGGCCGCACCGGCGGCTCGCCTGGCGCGAGACTTCACGGTGCCCAGAACCACCCCCATCCATGGGGCCAGGTGGCACGCATCCACGAGCCTCCCCCGACCGAGATGCGGTGCGAGGTGGCCCGAGTGCTGAACCCTGGGGCGGAGAGGCGTTTAGCGGACAGCACCCACCACTACCCGTCAGGGGTGGATTTACGCAGCCTCAAGTTCCCCCCTGGACGCTGCGCGGGTGCTGCACCAGCCCCCCAGCCTCTGCCCTGGGGGCTGGGGAGGAGGGAGGAGAGATGAGGTGGAGGGAGGAGGAGGCGGAGGGAGGGCGGAAGGGGGAAGAGGGAGGAGGGAGGAGTACGGAGTGGGGACGGGGGAGGGTGGAGGAGGAGGAAGAGGAGGGGGGCAGGGAGGGAGGGAAGAGGCGGAAGGGGGGGAGGGTGAGGAGGGAAGAGGAAGGAGGAATGATGAGGCAGTTGAAGGAAGAGGAGCCCGAACCCTTCCAGTCTTGACTCGCCACCAAGCCACTCCGAAATTCCACGACGTGAGAAATCATAAAGCCGTGTCGAATCACGACCGCACATCCCGAACCCATGCTAGGCGCTGAGGGAGTGTTCCCCTTGCGACGTCGGCAACGCGGTGCGACCCGAGGAACCCATTCTCTCAGCCCCCGTTCCGATTTCCCTCAACGCCGCGATCTGTTTCGAACCGCGGGGGTCATACTCTGCACCCCATGCCCCGTACCAAGTTTGCGCCGCGGGTTTACACACACAGACACACACACACACACACGACGATGTGATGCAGTTGCAGTGCGCGGCCGCAAAGGAGACCAGACCCTTTCCCCGGAGGCAATCTTGCGCCTGCGACACGGATCCATGTGTGATGGTCCCGCCCCGACCACCAGAACCGCTCCTCCGAGGCCGAAGTTTGAGAAGAACGCCCCGATTGAAAAAACCTGTCGTCGGAGGCCTGTGCAGTTTCACGTCAGCCCCAAGGCTCGAGAACGGCCACCAGCAGCGCGGAGTGCGAAGAGACGCCCTCGACGCCACGAGGTGCCCAGGCCCCCCTTTGACGCCCAGTCCGAGTCGACCTCCCACGGCCAGCACCGCGGCCACGAGGGGCCCCCCACTGACACTGAGCCCTCAGGCGGCCAAGGGCAGACAAAGAGACGCCAGACTGCCCCCCCCCCCCCTCCCCGGACCCTCCCTCTCCGTCGCGCTCGTGGTCTCTGCGAGACCTCTCAGAAGCGAGCCCCTGGGGAGGCCGCTGGAGCCCGAGACGCTCTCGAAGGCGCGGAGAGGCGTGCCCCGGCACTCGGCAAAGACGAGGTTGGGGAAAGGACGTTCCATGGACCCCCCCCCCCCCCGAGCGCCCGCCCGAGCGCCATGGCAGAACCGCGCGGCAGCGACACTGGATGATGAAAGATGCTCCACGGTAACTCCTCGAACCTCCTCGATCCTCAACCCTCTTGGACTCTCATGTGCTTCCGAGGCCGGCCGGCCTGCGCACCACCGAGTCGTGGCCGTGGACCTTCGCCGAGACCTGCTCCAGCGCCCTGGGGTCCACGGTGCCGGGACTGGGGCCCTCCGGCATGCTCTCGGCCATCTCCCTGCGCTGGGCGCAGAGTGAATGACGGACGGTTGCGGGCGCAAACCCAAATCTCTGACGGACAAGATAAATGATCCGGGGCGACGAACTGCCCCCGGGGAAGGGGTCGGGACCTCTGGGGCCGCACACGGTAAAAAAACAAAAGGACAGACCCAAACCAGAGAAAGTTCAGAAATTCCTGCTGGTTCCTACGGAAGGCCAAAGGTTACTGTCTGCTGCATCCATCTCTCCCTTTCTCTTTCTCTTCCTCTGTCTCTGTCTCTCTCTCCCTCTCTCTCTCTCTCTCTCTCTCCCTCTCCCTCTCTCTCTCCCTCTCTCCATCAGTATTCCTTCGTGACCCTCTCTACGATCTGCCAATGTGAGTATATGAATATTAAGAATATCCACACACACACATATCTCTCACACTCTCCCTAAACGTGAATACATGTGACGTTCTGTGTGTATGCACATCTACAAGGCTATACATATATTGATGTATACGTCTTAGACATGTTTAAAACATGTGTTATATAAACACGTGTATGCACAGTATGTGTAGACGTGGGGTTTAAACAGCATACATGAATATACTACACTCTCGCTCTTTCTCTCTCTCTCTCTGCCTCTGTCTCTCTCTCTCTCTTTCTGGCTGCTCCGTCCCTCTCTCTCTGCCTACTCTGCCGACTTCCTACACACTCTCAACTCGATATACCCTCTATTGTCGTATTATCTCTCTCTCTCCGTTTTGGTTGTCCAGGTGCTTTTCTCTCTCTCTCTCTGTCTCTGACTCTCTCTCCCTCTCTGGTATGTGCTCTCTTTCCCATGCAAATCAGAAGAGGGGCCAAGATGGCCCCACGGCGGCCCAATATGGCCTCAAGACGGCCCAAGATGCATCCAGGAAGGCCCAGCAGGACCACCGAAAAACCTCCAACAGGGCCACAAGAGGCCAAAACCGTCGACCTCCCCTGGGTGGCTGAATAATGATCGTGTTCTCGCTTTCGGGCTTCCGTCAGTCCAAAACGGCCCAAGAAATTAAGTCGGGCGTGTCCCCCTAGAGCTGAACTTGGGCGAATAATAAAAATATTCAAAGCAGGCAAAAACAAGAATAGAAACATCGTCCCCAAGCTATTGTTGGACTACTCTTGAGCACTCCTCCTGTAGAGGGACAAGCCGGACTTAACCCAAGAAGCCTCCACGATGGCCCAAAGGCAGCCAAACAGGGTCCCAACAGGCGGAGATCCCGCAGAGTGCATGGAGCATGGAGCCCCCGCACAAGCCAGGCTTGCGCATGGAGATCCCGCAAACAGCGGCGGCAGCGGGCCGAGGAGCAATGCCCCGATACCAGGGTGAGATGTGCCACGAATCCTCCCTCCTCCCTCCTCCTCCTCCTCCTCCTCCTCCTCCTCCTCCTCCTCCTCTTCTTATTAGTACTAGTAGTTGTATCATTTTGGTGATTATGATCCGTATTCGTCTTATGATTATGATTACCGTTATTATTCTTAATGTTCATGATTCGTCTCTTTCTTCCTCTTATTATTATGACTATTATTATTCGCATGTGTAGCATTATCATGTTTATTATGATTATGCCTATTAGTACTACTATTATTATTCGTCTTATTCTTCTCATTAGTATTATCATGTTTGTTGTTATTATCCTGACGTATATGATTATTGTTATTCCTCCTCCTCATTCGGACGCCTCTGATCACCAACTGTGACAGGCCAAGGACTAGATAATGAGCTACGCATTACAAATCGCAGTACAAGAGAACCGCAAATTAAGATGCTCGGGCACGTTTGCCCGACCTGTGTTTGGAAAATAAGCTGGACACGAACTGGATGGCGTCATCGAGCGCCACCGCCTCAGCAGTAAAGGATGAAACCGGGAGATCGAAATGCACCCCACGAAACGCGACTGGAAAAATGTGCCTGGATCCAGCGCGCGTTACAATTGCCTCCAACACCCAGCCGGCAGCCGAACATTGATTCATCCCGTTTCCGCCGTCTGAATGGCAGAAGTTCGCCTCGCACGGAGAGAAATCTAAGACAGCCGGTGGCATTTCTTTGAACCAGCTTTGTCCAAACTCCATTGTGCAATTCACGATAAAATCTGCTATTCGGTTGTGTTCCCTCCGGTGCCATACGACCGGGTCGGAAGCCATGCACGGCGGCGTCCGCCCATCCTAGAAGAAGCTGAACGCTTGGCTATCCGCGGACACGGGGGCGAAGTCTCCCTCCATGCGTGCCGGAACACCTCGCGCAGCACCTTGTGGTGGATAGGCGAATGTCCTCTCTCGCGGAACCATCTCTTCAGCGTCAGTGCCGTTCTTGAGTTGAATTTCATCTTGCCTTCCTCTGGACGTCTCTTGAACTTGAACACCTTCCGAAGGAAACGCAACATCCACCTCCGCAGCGCGAGCAAGACCCCTTTAGACCAGCGCCAAGAGCAACATCCAAATAGTGCTGAACGTACTGGGCCAGATATCCACGCTGACAGCTTCTCTGAAATTGACGCCCGCCCGGTCAACAATTTCGAATACTTCCAAAAGCACGCCTCCCCCTTCCCCAGACGGTGCTCCAAGCTGGCATCAACGCTTTTTGATCAAGAACGGTTCCGAGAATTGTGACGCTGGTTTTTGGCTCGAACGCGATGCCGTCTGGCAAGACCACGGCGCCGGGCAAGTCGTCGCCATTGTCCTCCTCCTCCTCCTCCTCCTGCCTCCTCCTCCCTCCTCCTCCTCCCTCCTCCTCCTCCTCCTCCTCCCTTCTCCTCCTCCCTCCTCCTCCTCCTCCCTCCTCCCTCCTCCCTCCTCCCTCCTCCCTCCTCCCTCCTCCTCTCCTCCTCTCCTCCTCTCCTCCTCTCCTCCTCTCCTCCTCCTCCTCCTCCTCCTCCTCCTCCTGCCTCCTCCTCCTCCTCCCCTCCTCCTCCTCCTCCTCCTCCTCCTCCTCCTCTCCTCCTCCTCCTCCTCCTCCTCCTCCTCCTCCTCCTCCTCCTCCTCCTCCTCCTCCTCCTCCCTCCTCCTCCTCCTCCTCCTCCTCCTCCTCCTCCTCCTCCTCCTCCTCCTCCTCCTCCTCCTCCTCCTCCCCTCCTCTCCTCCTCGCTCCTCCTTCTCTCTCCTCCTCCTCCTCCCTCCTCCTCCCTCCTCCTCCTACTCCACCTCCTCCTCCTCCTCCTCCTCCACGATGGCCCAAGACGGCGCAAGAGGGCGCAACAGAGGGCCCGAGACGGCCCCAAGGGACCCCCAAGTTTGCTCACAGGAGGCCAAGACAGCCCCAGGGCGGCCCAAACAAAGTTCATGAAGGCTCCCCAAACAGTAAAGACAGAAGTGCCACATGTGCCGACATGATTCACTCTCTTCCTCCTGCTGCTGCTGCTCCTCCTTCTTCTCCTCATCCTCCTCCTCATCCTCCTCTCCCTCCTCCTCCTCCTCTTCCTCCAACTCCTCATCACATCACCACCACCACCACCATAACCATAACCATCAGCATCATCACCACCATCATCATCAGCGGCAGCAACATAAACAACAAGAGCAACCAACATCAACGACACCATGATTATCATCCGCAACATCATCAGCATCATCATCAGCAGCATCATCATCATCAGCACCAGCATCAGCATCATCATCATCATCATCATCATCATCATCATCATCATCATCATCATCCGCAGCATCATCATCATCAGCATCATCAGCATCACCACAACCACGATCAGCATCATCACCATCATCATCACCATCATCATCAGATTCATCATCTTCATCATCTGCACCATCCTCATCATCTCATCAAAATCATCATCGTCGTCATAGTCATCATCATCAGCATCATCATCATTATCATCAGCATCAGCATCATCAGCATCATCATCATAGTAATGATCATCATCAGCAGCAGCAACAACAGCATTAGCATCAGCATCATCAGCATCATCGGCATCATCAGCAGCAGCACCATCTTCATCATCATCAGCATCATCATCAGCAGCATCATCATCATCATCATCATCATCAGCATCATCATCCTCAGTCTCATCATCCTCATCCTTATCCTCATCCTCATCATCATCATCATCATCTTCATCCTCATCCTTATCATCTGCATCGTCATATTCGTCAGCCTCATCATCACAACCATCATGATCATCAAAACCATCATCATCACCATCAGCAGCAGCATCGCCATCACCATCGTCAGCATCATCATCGTCATATTCGTCAGCCTCATCATCACAACCATCATGATCCTCAAAACCATCATCATCACCATCAGCAGCAGCATCGCCATCATCATCGTCAGCATCAGCATCGTCATCATCATAATCATCATCAGCAGCATCATAATAATGGTCATCATCATCAGCATCATCATTATCATAATCATGATCACAATCAATCAGCATCAGCATTAGCATCAGCATCACCATCATCATCATCATCATCATCATCATCATCATCATCATCACCATCCTCAACATCATCACCAGCATCACCATAATATCCGTCCCCATCCTCATCATCACCATCATCCTCACCCTCCCTTCCTTCTCATCATCAACATTAGCAGCAACAGCATCGGCATGATCATCCTGATCATCCTCCTAATCATTCTCATCATCACCACCACCATCATCATCAGTGGCAGCAACATAAACAACAAGAGCAACCAACAACAACGACAACATGATTATCATCAGCAGCATCATCAGCATCATCATCAGCAGCATCATCATCAGCATCAGCATCATCAGCATCATCAACATCATCATCCTCAGCAGCATCATCATCACCACCATCATCATCATCATCATCAGCATCACCACAACCACCATCATCATCATCATCACCATCATCGTCACCATCATCATCAGATTCATCATCTTCATCATCAGCACCATCCTCATCATCTCATCAAAATCATCATCATCGTCATAGTCATCATCATCAACGTCATCAGCATTATCATCAGCATCAGCATCAGCATCATCAGCATCATCATCATCATCATCATCTTCAGCACCATCATCAGCAGCAGCAACAACAGCATTAGCATCAGCATCATCAGCATCATCGGCATCATCAGCAGCAGCACCATCATCTTCAGCAGCAGCATCGCCATCCTCATCATCATCATCATCATCAGCATCATCGTCATCCTCAGTCTCATCATCATCCTCATCCTTATCCTCATCCTCATCCTCATCCTTATCATCTGCATCGTCATATTCGTCAGCCTCATCATCACAACCATCATGATCATCAAAATCATCATCATCACCATCAGCAGCAGCATCGCCATCATCATCGTCAGCATCATCATCGTCATCATCATCATCATCAGCAGCATCATCATAATACTGATCATCATCATCAGCAGCATCATCATTATCATAATCATCATCATAAACAATCAGCATCAGCATCATCAGCATCAACATCACCACCATCATCATTATCACATCATCATCATCATAATCATCATCATCATCATCATCATCATCATCATCATCATCATCGCCATCCTCAGCATCATCACAAGCATCACCATAATATCCGTCCCCATCCTCACCATCACCATCATCCTCACCCTCCGTTCCTTCTCATCATCAACATTATCAGCATCAGCATCGGCATGATCATCCTGATCATCCTCCTAATCATTCTCATCATCACCACCACCATCATCATCAGTGGCAGCAACATAAACAACAAGAGCAACCAACAACAACGACAACATGATTATCATCAGCAGCATCATCAGCATCATCATCAGCAGCATCATCATCAGCATCAGCATCATCAGCATCATCAACATCATCATCCTCAGCAGCATCATCATCACCACCATCATCATCATCATCATCATCATCAGCATCACCACAACCACCATCATCATCATCATCACCATCATCGTCACCATCATCATCAGATTCATCATCTTCATCATCAGCACCATCCTCATCATCTCATCAAAATCATCATCATCGTCATAGTCATCATCATCAACGTCATCAGCATTATCATCAGCATCAGCATCAGCATCATCAGCATCATCATCATCATCATCATCTTCATCACCATCATCAGCAGCAGCAACAACAGCATTAGCATCAGCATCATCAGCATCATCGGCATCATCAGCAGCAGCACCATCATCTTCAGCAGCAGCATCGCCATCCTCATCATCATCATCATCAGCATCATCGTCATCCTCAGTCTCATCATCATCCTCATCCTTATCCTCATCCTCATCCTCATCCTTATCATCTGCATCGTCATATTCGTCAGCCTCATCATCACAACCATCATGATCATCAAAATCATCATCATCACCATCAGCAGCAGCATCGCCATCATCATCGTCAGCATCATCATCGTCATCATCATCATCATCAGCAGCAGCATCATCATAATACTGATCATCATCAGCAGCATCATCATTATCATAATCATCATCATAAACAATCAGCATCAGCATCATCAGCATCAACATCACCACCATCATCATCATTATCACATCATCATCATCATCATCATCATCATCATCATCATCATCATCGCCATCCTCAGCATCATCACAAGCATCACCATAATATCCGTCCCCATCCTCACCATCACCATCATCCTCACCCTCCGTTCCTTCTCATCATCAACATTTTCAGCATCAGCATCAGCATGATCATCCTGATCCTCCTCCTCCTAATCATTCTCATCATCAGCATCACCATCACCATCATCAGCATCATCAGAAGCAACACCCTCACCATCCTCAGCATCACCAGCAGCAGCAGCAGCAGCATCAGCATCTTCATCGTCACCCCAATTCCCCCCGTCAGCATCATGTCAGAATCGCCATCCGTCTCAGAACGGCGGTCCCAAGCCTGGAGACCCGAGGTGCCACACGTCACGGCCACCCGTACCCCCTGGGGCAGTCGCCACCCAAAATGCTTGGCTGGTACTGAGGCGGGACTTACCGCAGGAGGCTGGATAGATTCTATCACTATGACCATGGTCGCACGTACTCTCTCTCTCTCTCCCTCCCTCTTCTTCTCTCTCCCTATATCTATATACATCTGTACATTATATACAATGATGCCACATATGTATAACATGTCTGCCCCTCGCCCTAGGGAGAGCGATTGAGAGAGAGAGAGATAGAAAAAGAGAGAGAGAGAGAGAACAAGCAAGAGAGAGACAACAAAACAAAGGAACAAAGAGAGAGAGAGAGAGAGAGTTGAGGGACCGGTGAGTGGAGGAGCGGATGGAAGGTCGAGGGGGGAAGAGAATAAGCGAAACGGGGTCGAGAAGGAGTGGTATAATCTCAACGCCAGGGCGCTATCCACGTGACCTGGCCTGTGAACATCTTCGTCGCGGCGCTTGCAGTGCTGCTCGTAGCGCGTCAGGTTCGTGCCCCGGAGGTTGTTGGGAAACCTGCGCTCAAATCGTCGGCGGAGGAGGATGGTCCCGTCGCCGTCCAAAAAGTAAGAATCGCCTCCTCTTGTTGCTCCCCCCCCCCGTCCCTTCTTACCCGCTCTCCGACCCACTCCTCATCACTCCTCCTCATGCATCGCCGTTCCTCTTCGTGCCTCGGCCTGCCTCCAAATCCCCCGTGTGCTCGCCCTCGGATCTTCCCCCCCCGATGCCAAGTAATATACTCTCCCGCTTCATCTTCAACCGCCTGCTCCACCTCCGCCTGCCTCCTCTGAAGGGGCCTTGGGACACACAAATAAATACACACAAATAACAGGATTCTCCATATTTTCCGATATTTACTGGGTTTTTGTCTTCCCCCCCACTTCCCAGATTTTCCCATATTTTCCTCGAAATCGACGATGAATTGTGTCTGTGTTTTTTCCCCTCCTGATCCTCATCCTTCTCATCGTCATCCTCCCACTGTTCCTGCCTCCCCCCTCCCCTCCCCCTCTCCTGCGCCTGCTGCTGCCCCATCCACCCTTCGCACCCACTCTTCCCCGTGCTCCCCTCCCGTCCCCCCCCCCCTCGTCGCCCCTTCTCGTCTCACTCGCCCCCCTTCTCCCCATGCCGCCGCAGCCTCGGGCTCCTCCTCTCTCCTGCTCTACCTCCACCTCCTTCCTCGTGCCCCATGGCGCCTCTTCTCGCGCCTCCCTCCCTCCCCTGTCCTTCAGCCCTCTTCCCTCGTCCCTCCTGCGCCCCTCCCCCTCGCTCATCAGCCTGTCTCCCTGCGCCGACTTCATCCCTACTTGCAAATTGTCCCTTTAAGTCGGGCATGTCCTCCTAAAGGGGGGATGTTGGACGAACAAACAAAAATCGTCAAGAACATATACGAAACAATGCCCACGAAAACGTCCCCTGACTATTGCTTGACTGTTTTTGAGTATCCCTCCTGTAAAGGGACAGGCCCGACTTGATTGTACCCCCCCGACGCACCACAAAGGGCGGGGGGGCTGTTCCGCTGGCATCCGCCTCACAAGGTGTGACCCCGACACCTGAAAAAAAAAATGCCACTCGCTTGTCGGAGCGAGATGATTTCAACATGTGGCCCTCACCCTGGCGCCGCGCACACTCGCCTATCAGTCGTGCGCCGCGCACATTCGCCTGCACGCCTTCCGCATGCTACACGGTAGCCGGGCGGGCCGCTTTTCAAATGAGGCGCTCGCTTTGGTGCCGTGCGCATGCTTTGAGCACTTGTAACCATAAGGGAGGACGGTGTGTTTCAACATGGGGCGCTTACTTGGTAGACAACCAGGTATGAGCAATGGTGAAACAGGTAGCGGGAAATAGCGCGGTTCCTTTTCAGCAAGGGGCTCTTACTTAAGACCAACTAATATTCAGTGGATAGAGGCTGTACTTGTGAATACTCAGATGGAAGGGTATGTTTGTTCAAAAAGGCGGACTCTCAGATGACAGTCCATTGCCTTTTCTACCCCTATCCTATGACAATGATTGCCGCCACCTTCTCAAACGGGGCTCTCGCTTGAAGGGCTACCCCATGAGGCTGTTATCCGTCAAAAGGTGGCCCCGTAATCAAAATGAACGCCTATGGCTGATGGAGACTTCTGTTGCGGCGACTTGCAACAGGAGAGGGTGTCTTGTAGCATCGCTGACGCTCCCTGGATTTACTCTGGACCTCCTCCTCCTCCTCCTCCTCCTCCTACACCTCCTCCTCCTCCTCCTCCTCCTCCTCCTCCTCCTCCTCCTCCTCCTCCTCCCCCTCGTCGTCCTCATCTTAGTCCTCCCTCCTCCTCCTCAGACCTTCTGTAGAGTCACCAACCTTGGGTCAACTTTGATTGAAGGGTCGGGGGGGCAAGGTATGCCTGCACAGGGAAGGGGGGCGTGTAGGGCCGCTGGACGTGCGTAAGAAGAGTACGTCGGCAGCCTGCATACTCATTATTTGGAGCATGCCTGCTTGAGTTTAGAAGGGTCATTCTGGGTGAGGTCGTTCTGGGGCATGGTGGTATGCCCCAACGAGCCTAGAGTGGGGGTGTCTTAGAGAGAATCAAAGGGAGCCCAACCCGAGCCCCTGGAGGTCTCGACCACCAGGGTCGATCCCTCGTTCGGCGGCTCGTTTTTTTGGAGACGTGGGCCGCCGGAGATCTCGAAGCCCTTCCAGGGCATGTCTGCTGTGATGCCGCAGGCTCGTTTTTGGGCCAGGCCGGTTTCTGAAGCTGGCTTCCGAAGGCCCAGGATGGCGGTAAACCGGCTGAGCTGATCGATTTTCTTTGAGCCACCAGATGTCCAGGGATAACGCAGAGGAGGAAGAGGAGAAGGAGGATGAGGAGGAGGAAGGAGGAAGAAGGAGGAGGAGGAGGAGGAGAAAGGAGGAGGAGGAGGAGGAGGGAGGAGGAGGGAGGAGGAGGAGGGAGGAGGAGGAGGAGGAGGGGAGGAGGAGGAGGAGGGGGAGGAGAGGAGGAGGAGAAGGAGGAGGAGGAGAGGAGGAGGAGGAGGAGGAGGAGGAGCCAGGGCGCAAGCCCGCGGATACGCGGTCACACGGATGAGCTCCCCGCGGGGCACCCCGGACAGAAATGCCACGCGTGTCCGCACCGCGACCCGAGGAGGCCACGGGTACCGCCGGACCTGGGCCAGAAGCACGGCCTTCGAGCACAGGAGGCCCTTCGCCGGCGAAAGCACACAGAACAGTCACGGGTGTCCTCCCAAGGATGCACAAGAATGCCCAACACACATTTTTGGGTCTGCGGGGCGAGAGCGAGCCTCTTCCGGTTAAGAGCTAGGCGGGCCGCGCAAAGCACTAATTGGGGAGACAGGGCGCGGGCGGGCGGGGCCTCAGGCGGCCGGAGGGCGCGGGGTGCAGGCGGTGCTGAAGAGCTTGCACAGGAAAAGGTAAGAATGCCCAACACACACACGAAGATCATCAGGGCACCCTCCGCGAACCGACCCCGACCCCGTACCTCGGTCCAACTGCACGCGACATGCTTATCGCCCACGAAGCCCGGACACGGCCCCCAGGGGCCGACAAAAACCACGAACAGCACCCGTCCTCACTCGTGCAGGTGGCGCCTGGACATCTGGCCCCCCCGCCCCTCCCGGGGCCTCCGGAGTCGCGCCTCTGCTCACAGCGTGGACAGAATCCTCCCAGATGGGGTCCGAGCAGAGTCGGACCTAGGCCAGAAGAGCATCCTCAGACGGCCAAAACGCACAGAACATCCAAGGGTACCCTCCCCAGGATGCACAGAAGCATCCGACAAACGCGAATAAAATTGGGGCACCCTCCCCAAACCGACCTCGATCTTGTGCCTCGGTCCGAGAGTAGATGGAGTCGGAGCATCGCGCCGCATCGGTAATGCATCTGCGATGCATCGGTGACAGCGACGATGCATCGCCACCGACGGCGTGGAGAAGACTGGGCTCCACATCGAGACGCATCGGCGATGCATCGGCAATGCGGCGCGATCCTCCGACCCAATCTGTTCGGACCCCATCTGGGAGGCCTAGGGCGGACCTCCAGAGGTTGAGACCACCTCCCCAGGGAACGGAGCTCCATCCCGCGCCGCTTCAGAAAGCCCGGGAACTGGCAAGGGGCCCCGAGGAGGCCGAAAGCGGCCAAGAGATCAGCCCGCCGTGTTTTTCTCGCATCGCGACGCGAGGAGGTGAGGGGCAACGTTCTAGGTTTGAGGTTTGAGCTTTTCGGCAGCTTTCGCAAGTTCGGCGGATTTCCAGCCCCGGGTGCCTTCCAGCAGCTGCGCCTCGCCGAGAACGATCCAGGGGTGCCCGAATCGTCCCGAACGGCCGCCAGAGCGCCGAGCTATGACCCGAACGGCCGCCAGAGCGCCGAGCTATACTCCTGCCGCTGACCTGCACACTCCTGCGCGCTGCTGCTGTACAGCCACCGTGCCACCAGGAGGAAGGACGAAGAGCAAAACGAGGAGTTCTCCTGGCCACGGCTACTCAAGCCCGGCCACGAATGGGTTCCCCGAGCCAGATTCAAGGAACGGCCCGAAAACCCAATCACCCGACGTCATGATTCTTTCACAGCGTGGACCCCCAGAACTCTGGATCCTTCCCCAGGGCTGGCGTTTCATCCTGAATCGTTTTTTGAAGGCCCAGAGTCCTGGCAAAAGGCTTCCAGACAGTAACAGGAAGTCATTAGAATTCTCATCGCGCGAACAGGCCTGCGAACCAGAGCCCCTGGTGAGCCCAAAATGGTTTCCATTTCAGTGCTGTGAATGTAGCCAGAGATCGAAACGCGGCGCGCCGGCGCCGTTTGAGGGGGCGGTGCCTGAGCTCCAGCCACCCGTAGATTTCCTCGTGCGCAGGGTGGGCAGGCGAGCGGCGGATCTCTCCTTGTTCCTGTTTCCTCCTCCTCCTCCTCCTCCTCCTCCTCCTCCTCCTCCTCCTCCTCCTCCTCCTCCTCCTTCCTCCTCGTTCTTCTTCCCTTTTTCTCTGAGGCCAGCAAGAACCGCAGTGGACACCATGCACAGTGCATGAGAACAGCGAACGAGACTGGGAGGACAAGAATCAGGTGTTCACCGCGGTCCAAGCCTCCTGCCCTTTGGGCGCCCGAGTTATCCGGGGTAACTCGGGTCCGGGGTAACTCGGGTTTGGATTCCCGAAAAAAGGAACCCGAGTTAGCCCTGACCCGAGTTACCCCTGATGATTCGGGGCTCTGGACGCCCGAGTTATCCGGGGTAACTCGGGTCCGGGGTAACTCGGGTTTGGATTCCCGAAAAAGGAACCCGAGTTAGCCCTGACCCGAGTTACCCCTGATGATTCGGGGCTCTGGACGCCCGAGTTATCCGGGGTAACTCGGGTCCGGGGTAACTCGGGTTTGGATTCCCGAAAAAAGGAACCCGAGTTAGCCCTGACCCGAGTGACCCCTGATGATTCGGGGCTCTGAGCCCTGGCCCTGCGCGAACTCCCCCCGCCGGTGGCTCCCGAGGTGCGGACCCACCAGCGCGAAAACGCCCCTCCTGGAGACCCTGGGGCAGCCCGTCGTGCGTCTCGCACCCACTGAGGCTCGACGGGAAGGGGGCCTGAAACCACGTGGCGGCCGCCTCCTCCCTCCCTCCTCCTCCTCCTCCTCCTCCTCCTCCTCCTCCTCCTCCTCCTCCTCCTCCTCCTCCTCCTCCTCCTTCTCCTCCTCCTCCTGGGAAGGCCTACCGAGCTGGGGCCAGAGCACATGTCTCATGTCGGCAAGGATTCGGCACATGCCTCATTGCACCGGCCTTGCAGATGAGCTGCAGCGGATTCTGCGTGGATTTCTGCGTGATTTTTTGCCCGAAGCGGCGGGCGAAAAACGAAGTGAATGTCGCGGGGATTGTTTTATTCCTTTTTCGAAGCATGAAACAAAAAACAAAACAAAATAACAAAAGAAAATAAATTCACCTCGAAATCCGGATCAAAATTCTCCAGGACACCCCAGGCCCATCCTGTCGTTTTCCGAACGAAGTCCGCTCTGCGATGTGGGCGCCACGGAGGGAAGGGGGCCTGAAACCACACAGTCGGCAAGAACTCGGCACATGCCGGGGGGATGCTGCTTGGCAGCACCGGCGCCGACACTCCCCCGCGAGGCGAGCCCCTCGAGGTCCTCATGTCCTATACCGCTCTTCTGCATGGCGAAGAAGCAAACGCTGCATGCCTGAGGTGTGCCAGCAAGGCGGCAGTGCCAGGTGGAACAGCAGCTCGCCAGGCAGGCCCGGCCACGACAGGCAGAGCCCGCACGTGCGCCAACAAAGAAACGGCTCGATGTTCCTCCCAGCGGAGGCCGCCAGCGGCGAAAGGGGCCCAGACGAGGAGCAGAGGGGGGCGAGAAAGAGAAAAGAGAGAGGAGGGGAGCCAGCGGTAATCGACGGGATGAAGGTTTCCGCCCATCCTTGGTCGAATGCTGTGTCATGCTGGCGTGACCCGCTGCACACGTTTTTCACCGGTGCCCTAAAAAGTCGGAGCATATCTGCGCACCTGGCGCCCGCGGACCACGGACATGATTCGTCGCCCTTTGAAAGCGCGCGCGGCAAGCGCTGAAAAGCTGAGTTCCTTCCCACCAGGTGTTCCGAGGCAAAGGATTTGTTTCCTCAGCTGAGGCCGCGGGCACGGAGAGGCCCAGGCAGCCCCGGCTTGAAACTTGAAACATCATTCCTGCCTCGCCAGCGCGCTCGGGCTCTTTTTGCCGACCCGAGGAGATTAGCGGCCGCAGTCAGGGCAGCGCATTCGCGCGCGAGAGTCGCAGCACCCCGCGCGCCTTGCAGCGACGCGTCTGCCGCGCCAGGGAGGCGAGCTGAATGATGGAGGGTCACTGGCGACCTCTTTATCACGCACGCGCATGGGGGGCCATGATCTCGCAGAGCTCCGGGGAGGCGACGGATCGAATCCCGCCCAGCCGGTTCTCAAAACGCCGCGGGGACCTGGGCGCTGACAGCCAGCTCAGACTTGCGCGTGGAACCCAAGCGCTCACTCCACGGACTGCCGACACGCGAACGCGCACGGAAGAACAAAACGCCGGCTAGTGGCCTGCCCGAGCGCATGCCGCTCGATTACGGCAAGTTCTGCGCTCGCCCGCACCGCCGCAACTTGAACTCGGGCAAGAAGCATGGCGGCCAAAATGTCAGAGTGGAAAGATACGCGGGGTCCGGCCCCAAAGTTTAACGCGGCGCCGCTCCCCCCGCAGCGGCCCACGCCACGATCCGCGCGAGTCCACAATAGATGGCGGGGACCTCGAACGCGGCGCGAGACGCACGAAAGGCACGAGAGAGATCCAACCCCCCTGGCGGGCGCCAGCTGCCTGACCCCTCGAATTGCTACAAATGACTTTGGAGCGTCCACCTTCGCCCGGCGGTCCAGACACAACGCTGGCGGCGCAGCTGGACAGCTCGGGCATCTCTGGATGCCACGAGCCGTCGGCGTAGACGTCGAGCGCCGCGCGTAGCCCGTCTGGCGCCCGAGCCAGGCCGATGGAAAGCTCGCGTCGCGCGCGCCATTTGCTGGCGCACCACGAGACAGGCGGCGCGCAAACCCGCGACCCCGTGGAGCCAGCCCCGCGGATCGCACAGGACCTGAGGAAGCTCAACGGGAGCCTCGCGTCCGCCGGCAGCTGGCCCGGAACAAACGGGAGGCTCGGGAGGAGAAGCCTCGAGGCTACCAAAGACGACCCTGCCGCTGCTTTCCAACTCCCCGCGGGGGACACACACGCGTGCACACGCTTAAGAACCGGCTCGGGCTCTCGCTGGGGCCCACTATGGGACCGCACATGAGCCCAAGAGAAGAATACTCGCATTGAGTATCCGCTTCGACATTCCGTTCCGGCTCTCGCGCCGCCCTCCCGCGCCAACCACTCCGCGTGCTGCAACGGGGACAGGCACTGCTCCACGCCATCTGCCCTCCGAGACCTTCGGGGTGGACTAGTGCCCGGCATCGCATCTGCCGCGGTGCGAGGCAGGGAAAGTTTTCGAAACTGCCTGAAGCCCAAGGGTATGGTCGATCTGCTCCTGCGTTTGCTGCGTTGGCGTAATCGTCGTCGCTGTTCCCTTGCACGGATTTGGAAGTACACGAGAATCCTCCTGCGAGAACAAATCTAAGGGGACCGACACTGAAACTGAGCAGACATGGTAAACACCATCACCGACCTTGGGCTTCTCAACTTTGATGGGGTCGAAGGCGACGTGGTGCCTCCTGGAACTGGTACTGCTGCTGCGCCACTCGGGACCTGCTGCCGATTTAGGTCGCTCAGCGCCGACGTGACACTGGCCATGAACTGCTGCATCGGGACATGTATTGTCGCGAACTGCTGCTGATTGGTTGCCACCTGACGCGTTATGGAATCAAACTGCTGCTGTTGGGCAATCGTGACACCTGGCGTCGGCGCCGGTATTGGCGATTGCGCCGAAAGTGCGAGTGGACCAATGTTCCATTTGGACCGTCCCTTGGCGTTCATACCGTCTACGATAAGCTGCGGCAGATGCACCAGAAGCTGTCGGACGAAAGGGCATCTGACCCTACGCTGGCGGCTGCGGCGGCTGCTGCGGTCATCCATGCCGCAGCTGCTGCGGCGCACCATTTGCCTGCACTCCCCCTGGCGCGGGCCCTCCAGCTCCAGCAGGCTGGCCTCCAGATCTTGCCTGTGGGGGCCTGGCAGCGGTCGCCTGCATGGCCACGTCCTCCTCCTCGGCCTCGTCCTTCTCGAACCCCCGTTGGTCGAGCTGGCTCTTGAGATCCAGAATTTCTAACACAATCGCTTGATACGTTTATCCTGTCGCAAAAACGAGCCATTCTGTTCCCCGTGTCTGGACTTTGCTGTGCAATCTGTTGGCGAACCACCGAAACCGCCTTCCACATCGATATAGCGTATCGGGCCTCCTCGTCGTCCGTGCCAGCCGGCTGTTTTGGAAACGATCGCCGACACCACCATGGATTCCATTTTCTGACGGGCCTTAGCGCGACAAGCTGTAACCGTGTTCTCGTCGTTTGGCGGTGGTTCCCATGTGACGTTGGTTTTCGTGTCATGCTGAGAAACGGGCCAGGCTGATGAGATCCAATTGTTGGCCACTGCTTTCGAAAACTGGTGGGTATGCTCCTCCTCTTGCCAAGGCGTGCTTCTGGCTGCACTCGCACCCCCTGGACGCTGAAACCATGTGATGCCAACTCTCTGACGGCAAGGGGCACCGCATGTGCAACCCCGCCTCGTGATTGGAGCCTCCTCTCCGCACCAGCACTTCCGTGGCAACGGGCACATGTGTTTGCTGAACGGCTCCCTCTGGCAGCTGTGATGCCCTCGCGGACCTTGCTCCTGGCACCGGCCAGGCGCAGGGGGGGAGCACGGCACCGGGCACGCTGGGAGCGAAGTCGCCCGTGCCGGGCGGGCTCCGTCGGCCTCGAGCCGCGGCAAGAGAAGTGTGGGAATGCCGCGTCCCCCGACGCACACACACACACAGGGCGTTCGGGCCGCAGCGCCCTTCGCCTGCCCCCCACGCGGGCGAGAAGAGGGCCCCTTCGGCCAAACGCCTTTCCCCCCCTCCTCCTCCTCCTCCTCCTCCTCCTCCTCCTCGTCCTCCTCCTCCTCGTCCTCATCCTCCTCCTTGCTCCAGGCCGCCCAGATCACCGACGTCCGAAGGATAGATCTGTCTCAGTCTGTGCGCTTTTCCCCAACATCTCGGCCCTGGGACAAGAATAGCTGCCCAGGAGCTGTGAAGCAGCGGACTGACACAATCACGCAGTCTGCATGTCTTGGAATGGGCTGTCCTCCTGCTGCCGCTTGTCCTGCCAGGGGCACCCGACGGAGCTCCCCCTCTGCCGCCCCCTCCCCCGCCCCTGTCCATCCTCCCCCTGCGTCTCCGCTTCCTCCCTGCTCCTCCTGCTCCTCCTACTCCTCCCTCTCCCCCTCCTGTCGGTCCTGTCGGTCCTTGTGCAACCATGTCCCTCCAGGCGAAAAACGAAGGTGGCGACCGCCGCCTCCTCCTCCTCCTCCTCCTCCTCCTCCTCCTCATCCTCCTCCTGGGAAGGCCTACCGAGCTGGGGCCAGAGCAGGTGGGGATCGGCGGTTCGCGCCGCAATCCGCCGACGCGTCGGCGGAGTGCGGCGCGACCGGGGAGCCAACCCTGCCCGCGCCCCCATCGGAGGGGGACGGTGGTCTGATCGGTCGGGCAGATGGTGGCGGCTGGGGGGTCTGCTCTGGATGGGCACCAGCCGGGACAGTCTGGAGGGGAGGCGGGGCAACCTTGGCGCTCGGTGCCCATCTGGAGGTGGAGGCGGCCCAGAGGGGACAAGGAACGGAATCAGAATACAGTGGTGCCTCTCCCCTTTTTGAGCAGGGGCCGACCGTCCAGGCATTCTTACAGTCCTACCACGAAATTGTCCTTGAACCCAAGCGTGTTCTGAGAACAAAAACAGCGTTCTCAGAACATGAGCCCCATGTGTAAAACAAGGCCGCGTCAGCCAGAAGCTGTTCCGAGAGCACGTCGAGCCTCTCAGAGCGTAAGTTTGTGGGCCCCTCGGCGAGCCAGGACGCTTCGCCGCTGCTCGACAGCGGTGCCTCTCCGCTCTCTGTGACGGCTGGAGCTCGCGAGGCCCCACTCGGGTCGGGCGAAAGGGGGGGATAGCAAAGGGGGGGTTTGAGAATCAGCTCACGGAGCTGATTTTTCCCGGCGCCTCCCGGAGCCGGAGCGCGGCCATGTATCGAGGAATGGGCCTTTCGGTGGGGCCGAAACCAGCTACATGCAGCAAATTTCGTAACCCCCCCTTCCCAATCCCCCCCTTTCGCCCGACCCGAACCTCGCCCCCCCCCCCCTCCCCCGCGGCTCCGACCTCCGAGTGCTGCCAGGAGGGGCCCTGGCCCAGCGCGACCCGAGCTTCGGCACCAGTCTGGCTCCTCCCTTTTCTCCCCCTCCTCTCCCCCTCCTCCTCCTCCTCCTCCTCCTCCTCCTCCTCCTCCTCCTCCTCCTCCTCCAGCCTCCTCCTCCTCCTCTCCTCCTACTCCTCTCTGGGCCTCGCTTGGGGGGGGGGGGGGCGGGAGGCCCGCGACGCCTCCCCGAGACAGCTGGGGTCCGCTTGGGCCGGGGCCACTTCGGGCAGCACCCGAGGGACTGGGCAGCAGATGGCGGCAGCCGGGGCGCTGCGGCGGGTTCGGGTCGGGCGAAAGGGGGGGATAGCAAAGGGGGGGTTTGAGAATCAGCTCACGTAGCTGATTTTCCCGGCGCCTCCCGGCGCCGGGAGGCGCCATGTATCGAGGAATGGGCCCCTCGGTGAGGCCGAAACCAGCTGCATGCAGCAAATTTCGTAACCCCCCCTTTCCCAATCCCCCCCTTTCGCCCGGCCCGACGGGTGCTCGAGACAGCGCGAAGGCAGGGGCGGCGAAGGCCAGGCCAGACGGGGGCGAAGACAGGGAGGGAGACTATGGGTGGTCCCCAAACGTGGCGGTGAGAACACCCGGTGGTGAGTTTTGGGCGATTTGGAGAATGGTTTTCGAGCTCTGGCTGGCCCAGGAAACGCAAAACCTCGTGGCGACCGCGTGTCCCCAAACCCGGTGGTGACCCAGAATTATTTGTTTGGGGAATCGGGGTCACCACCGGGTGTCTCACCACCTGGTTTGGAGACCACCAAGACTAGGAGGGCGACGGGGGGAGCCGGAGGGGCAGGAAGTGGAGGGAGGGAGCCTTACCCACACCCCCATCGCGTCGAAGCAACAGCCTCGACAGGAGACGTTCGGCAAGTGTCGGCCTCTGGGGGCCCCTACTGGACCCGTGTGGGCCATCAGAGCACGGCTCGGGATGAACAAACTGTCCCGCGGAAGCGGTCGAGAACTCGGGGGGTCCACGTGGTCAAAAAACACAGCTTCAGTGGTCTGAGAGTGGCGAGTGGGAAGAAGGAAGGGGTGGAGCAGGGAGGGAGGAAGGCGAGGCAAGAGCGAGAGGGGGGGGTTGGGAGGAGGAACTAGAGGCGGGGGAACTAAGAAGGCGGGTGGAGGCGGACGACGACAAGGGAACCGTCCAAAACATCCAACACCTCGAACGCCCCAACACATCCGACGTCGTGTTATCAGCTCCAGTTCCGAATGTTGCAGTCAAAGATGCTCTATTCTCAAATCCCACCAGCCCTCTTGGCGTAGATGGTCTAACGATGTCTTGGTTTCCTTTCCCAAAGCGCACTTCCCGTCGGGGAGAGCAACTATTTCCCTCGCCTCCCTGGGTTTTTTGTGGGGAGGGGGACCGAGGGATTAGAGCGTCCAAGATAGCTCAAGATGGCCTCCCGAGGGCGTCCGATGCTCCAAGATGGCCTCCCAAGATAACCTCCAAGAGGGCTCAAGATAGCCGACGATGCCCCAAGATGACTTCGGACATGCTCCAGAGAGGCCCCACAGACCGCTCCAGGGCGGCTCCGAGGTGCTCTCGGAGCGCCCAGGAACCCCCCCACGAGCACAACATCATTCAAAAGCCAACGAAACATCCTCGAGTGTTGCCGTATTGCCTTTTCGCTTCCGATGCGCTTCCGAGGCCTCAAGATGGCCCCAAGGTGGCCAAGGGGAGCTCCAAGCGGGGCCCACAGGCCCCCCCAGGCGGCCCCGAGAGCGCCCAAGAGCACCTCACGAGGGCCCAAGAGGGCCCCAAGTTGCGATTCGTGGGTCCCAGATGGGGGAGGCAAATCGGGGGCCCCCCCCGCTTTGATCGATGGCCTCCAATACGGCCCCAGGAGGCCCTCCAGGGCTTGCATGAGGGCCCCAAGAAGAAAGCCTCAGGAGGGCCCCAAGACACCCGAAGAGATCCATACGGGGACCCAAGAACCCTCCCAAAGAAACCCTGGAGGGCCCCAAGAGGGCCCCCCAGAGAGCCACAAGAGGACCCAACCGAGCCTCACGAAGACCCCAGATCCTCGTCGTTTTCCTCCTCCTCCTCCTCCTCCTGCTCCTCCTCCTCCTCCTCCTCCTCACTCATTCCTCCTTCAGCCCTCTCCTCCCCTCCTCTAATCCTCTCCCTCCTCATCATCCTCCTCGATCCTCACCTCCTCTACAAATCTCACCCTCCTCCTCCTCCTCCTCCTCCTCCTCCTCCTCCTCATCCTCCTCCTCCTCTTCCGCTGGATTCTGAATTCACCATGGATGCCCGCTTTGATTTACTGCATGCATCTCTTCCTCCCATTTCCCGTCAACGCTCATGGGCAGCGTTTCTGCATGGGCTGGTGGGGACACTTTGTTGGTCCGCGGCTCCGAGGCGAGAGACAGGGAGCGAGCACAACGTCCGGGGCGCGGTACGTCATTATTGGCGCGAGATTGCCGCGGATTCCAGCGGACAGCACTCGCAGCGGCACATGCACATGCCAGGGACAAAATGCCCCTCATTGAGACGCATTTCAGCGTCTGCTGGTGAGCTGGTGGGAACACGCGAAGCGTGAGGAAGTCATTCGCGCGTTGAAATGAGGGGGGGAGGGG